CCCTGCGGCTCCTCACAGCTGCAGCAAGAGCAGAGACAGCGTCTCCCGCCCCCTCGGCCCAACTGCCCTAGTGCCAGCTGCCTCCAGTTCCTCAGACCCACGTCCCCTCTCCTGCCCTCCCCTTCCTCTAATTGCCTCAGGGCCCGCCCCCTCCCCTCCCCTCCCTCCAACTGCCTCAGGCCCTCTCCCCTCCCCGCCCCTCCCCTTGCCTCAGTGCCAGCCCCGCCCCCTCCAACTGCCCTAGTGCCAGCTCCACTCCCCTCTAACTGCCTCTGGCCCAGCCCCGCCCCCTCTGCTCCTTTTGCCTCAGTGCCAGCCCCACCCCCTCCTACTGCCTCAGGGCCAGCCCCACCCCCTCACTGACTTAACCAGGTAAGTACCCCTAGATGAGAGTTTTCAACTATTCAGATGCACTTTCTGACCATCTTTACAAGAGGACTTCTCCAAAGGTGTTAACCATGAGTCCTCCATGCTGTTAGGTAGAGAGCTCACAGGCTGGGATGGAGTAGGCAACCACACTCCTGAAAAATCACACCTGGATCCAGCAGGAGAGATAGAGGAGGCTTGATTGACAAGGCCAGTAGGTTTGAGAACAAGGGCTGGTGAGGTCATTCCAGTGCTATAAGGATGAAATGAGCATGGTCTTCTTTGACTTTGAACAAGACTGTTAGTATATAGGCCTGCTTCTTAGCCTGACAGAATTTTGGGTTTGCTTTTTGATACTCTTATATCCTTACTAATATGTGTGAACAACGACAGTGTGTGTTACATCTGCCCACAAGCAGATGGGGTGAAAAGAGATAAGAGATGTTGTTAAAATTGTTACAGGGTCTTGGGGGAGTTTAATATATGAGCATACACTGGAAGCATGCCTGGCTCCTTTCTCAAGCCAAGGCCAAGCAACCAGTTAGGAGCGGTGAAGGGGTTGGGGAGAGGCATAAGAAACACTAAAAGCCAAAGAAAGCCTGTCCCTGACCAGAACAGAACCTCCCTTGTTACCCCTCCCATAGGATAAAAAAAGAGGTGGGAGAATGCTCCCAGACTGATGACCCTCCAACACAGGATATGAGCATAAATTGTAAGGGGTGGGACCAGGGGCATGCACTGCAGGTATATTTGGGCCTGCTATGAAGGAGGAGGGGGCAATAGGAAACGGTGATATGCGTAAAAGCTCTGCAGTGTCAGAGCTGGGAACAGAACACTGGGAAACACTCTGCTGGCATGTAGAGCTATGGATATGCCTGCTTGAAACTAACCCCAATAAACATTACATTGCCTGCACTTTGGACTTCTGGTCTTCTGCTTTCTGTCTGCGTGACAAGAACCAGGGGAGAGGGTGAAGGGAAAGCCCCCTAACAAAGACCCTGGATAGAAAGACAGTTGGAGGGAAGGCATACAGGTGAGGGGTCCATACAGAGAAGCATCTGTCGACCTCCCCGGGAGCAAAGCTGATGGCATTTTTTGTTGAACATTGTTCCACTTTGGGAGGCCCACAGAGCTGGATGATGGATCTGGCCCTGTCTGCTGTCCTGGAAGGTGAGCAGCTCTGAGATTAATCAAATTTGTTATGCAAAAGTTCCAAAAGCGAATCGCCTCTTCGCATAGATGGGTTGCATGGGTTGAGTGGGCCAGTATGCTGGGTCATCATCCGAGACTACTATAACATGAAATATATGGCAGAATGCAGGAAAAACAGAGAAGGGGACATACAATTCTCCCCCAAGGGATACAGAGGACAGGACCAACTTAGAAGTAGGATGAAATTCTATGAAGTTCTGAGGAGACATTTATCTGAATACAGAAAGAGAACCATAAATAAGACCAAAACCTGTTTATTCAAATTAAAAAGTGGAACAGAACAAAATAAACTAACAGTTAAAAAAAAGGAAATTGTCCATGAATCACATAAATTGGG